GGACACAGCCCAGGAAACACACTGGGGTAGGGCCAGGACATAGCACCTTCTCCCAAGGGCGCTGGCCAGAGGCAGGGAGGTTGACAGGAGTGCTGTCCTTCTGGGGTCTTCCCCACCCATGTGAGTTGCTCTAGAAAGGGGCAGTAGAGCCCAAGGACCAGAAACCATCTCTTCTGAGCTTCCCCACAGATCAGGCCAGAGCGGAAAATGCCCCCAGTCCTGCAAAGCTGAGGCAGGCCCCCAGGCCACCATATCCTGCCACCAGACCAGATGACCCTACCTGCCCAGGGATGTTTTCTCCAACAAAGATTCACTGGGTGAAATGGCAGTGACAGCCATACCCTGCCTGGCTCTCGATCACTGTAGCATCCAGTTGTTTTAAAGGTCAAAAGTCCAGGGAGTGAGTCAAGACCTGGTTGGGCCTGCAGGCTTCGACTGTCCTCCCAGGCAGCTCTGTCAGGGGGAACAAGGCTCATCACCACTCCCAGGTTCTTCCTGCAGGGAGCCTTCCTGAATGACCAGGCTGGGTGCAGGCCCTCTTCTGTGCCTAAGCCCATGTGCTCACCCACACCTAGCCACTGACAGCCTACCGCAGGCTTCTCAGAGAGCCAAGGGGACTGGCGGGGCCAGCACCTATAGCCTGGCCCAGAGAGGCTGCTACACCACTGCTTTGAGAAGAGCCTGCCCCGCCCGCTGGCTCCTGGCCATGAGGGGCTCTCACCTCAACAGCTGGTGAGACTGCACTTGGAACAGTGCAATCAGGGCCTATGGGTCCAGCTTCCTCAGGACAGCACTAAGAAGCAGGAAACGGAGGCAAACTTGCAGCCCTCGCTGTCGTGACAGATGGCTCTTCAGGACACAGGATGAGGACACAATGTCTTATGTCCCACAGCCCTTGCCTCACGACAGACACAGAGCAGGGCTGCTTCCCCAGCCTCCTGGATCCAGCTCACTGCAGCTCTTCTCCGAGGAGCAGGGAGGGGCCATGTGCCCTTCATCATCCTCATCTCTCAGCCCAGCGGGCCTGGCTGAGGGAGGCCAGCAGCCTCCAGATGAGTCCACGGCCTGGGAAACCAGAGGGCCCCTGTGGGTCTCAGTGGGGCATGGGGCTGGGCAAGGCCCAGAGGGGTCTCTAGATGGCCTGAGAGCCAGGCCCACTGCTGTCCCTCTCAGAGGAGTTACCTGGTCCTGAGAAACAAATGGCCTTCAAACCAAACCCCCGAAATGAGCATCTAAAACAATGTCTCTATTTGTATGATTTACAGTTGACATCTAAAATTTCTCATCATAAGTTTAAATACTTGCAGAGGATGTAATTTCCAACATACTGTAAATATTAACATTTTAAACTAAAACTGTTACTATTTCTCTTTTAAATGGATCCAGTGGAATCTAAATACCATAGTGATCTGAGATCCACCACCATCCATCTCAAAATTATATAACCAAGCTCTCCTTGACACCTGGAAATCCCACCACGTTCATTTTTCTTCCTGGACTCTAATTCCCAGCCCGCTTTCCATTGGGATGTTTATGCAATCACAGCACACGCTGGGAAGCCTTGTACTGATTATTCCACAACTGAGCCAAATCATACACATGTGTAGATAATGTTTCTTTTCTTCATTTCTCATGTGACCATAAAGCTCTTCAGTGTCAAAATGTTTCTTCTCATTACAACTAATATTAGGACACAACTGAAAAAACATGACAGAAACATTTAAAATTATACAAATGAGAATCACAGAAAGTACAACTTTACTGGAAACACAACTTTGAGGCGGTGAATGGGACCTTTAAAGTCATTTCCTGTATCCACAGATGAGTATCATCTACTGCTGGAACGAGACAGGCTTATCAATTCTATCTTCATTTTTCAGTTTTCATGGATATGTGTTAAAACCACTTACTCAAAAAAAAAAAAAATGGAAAGAGATCCGTCATAGCAAATTCTTTGGATTCCTGTAGAATCATATGCCAAGAATTACAGTAATCTCTCATCACACATCTTTGTTTTCTATGCTGGGGACTGGCTGGCCCCGGGGGCCCTGTGTGCTAGGCAAGCACTACACTACCACGTGCACCCCAGACCTCTAAGATCACTCTTGATCTGCTATCGGCTGACAACTTGCGCAGTTCCTCTTCCAATTCTGTTGCAAACAAGGAACGGGGACCACCTCCCTGGCCCAGGGTTATAACGATGACTGGCGGGCTTCCTGTCCTGCAGTCCACCCCTGGGTTCAGGCCTTCCTAAGGAAGCAAGAACACGTGGCTCTGAAGATCACCAGTTCCTTAGAGCCAGGTCCAGTGCCAACTCTGTTACTCAAAATAACTGAGTCCTCACACCAATCCTGGGCACAGACAGTAGAATTATCCCCACTTTAAAGCTGAGCAGACTGACACACAGAGTCCTTAAGCACCACCTGGTAAGGATTACACGCAAAGTTCCTTCAGAGTAAATGGCTTCCATGACTGGTACACTGGAGTCCCCATAAGTACTGAACACTGATGAACAGCAGGAAGAGGAATGATTCCATGACCTGGACAAACACTGCAGGACCTTTCCAGGGATTTCAGCCTTGGGTCCTGACCCAGCCCCAGCATCCTTTTATATGTAGCCAAAGGCAGGAACGCCAGGCAGGCAAGCAGTTAGTAAGTGCAGCAGCCCACTACCATGCTCGGGAGACGGCCTGCCCAACAGACAACAGGCCCACACAGAGCCCAACACTGCCACCAACCAGCTGAACACCCCAAGAGGTCACTTTGTCCTGAGCCTCAGTTTCCTCATCTCTATAGAGGACGCACCATCACTGGGTGCCTCTCCAGACTGGGAAAGTGGACCTGACACAGCCGATGTGGAGGTGGCTGGTGCAAGGTCACCCTCACCCTCACTACCACCTTAACCAGGGCCCAGAGCCAGGGACTGGGTACACAGAAGCCTAATTTTGAAAAACCAGCCAGGTGACGTGGCTTGCAATTTTTGCAAAGCCTTTCCCAATGTCTTAAAATTTAAAACACCCAGGGGTGCCAAGAGGAGGTGAGGTAGAGGCTTTTTATTTTTAGATGCCAGAGTGGAAAGCGTCCAGTTTGGCCTCATTCTGGTCCTCAGCCACCACTTCCTTCCCCGAGTCATCATCAAAGGAAGAACAGACACATCTTGAAAGACTTCAGAGCCCCTCCTCTGCCCGCCTAGCACATTCTGAAGCAGTGACTCCAGTCTCCTGTCCCACCCATGACTAAGCAGGAAAGGTTCAGCGCAGCCTCCTAGGAGGCCCGGGAAACCTCCTGTGGCCCCTGGTTGTCTCTCACACCCTGTGCATGTGGCATTGTAGTTTGGGATCATGTGAATAGAAGGGTCTGGAGGAGGAACGCCTCTCTTCCTCTGTCAAGAAGGGAGTCTGCTGGTAAGCACAGGCCCTCACTTCCTCCAGGAACCACTCCCAGGAGCGACCCCCCTCCTGGGCCCTTATCAGTGCTGCAGCAAACCACAGGGAAGCCCAGAACTGTCCCTTGCACATCGAGCACCAAGTAGCACCAAGAGTTCCTTGGTGGGTATACATCTGCAAAGGGTTTTCAAGTTAGCCTTCAGAAAGGGCTAAAGCCTCTCCAGCATCCTGGAGAAGAAAATGGTCCACACCCACCTCCTTTGCACACACCTGTGTCTGTGGCAGGCATTATCCATCAACCCCCGTCCTCACCCATGCACACTGAGAACCCCCAGGCAGCAGAGAAGGCCCTGAGACACATCTCTTGGCCATTCCTGAAATGGACAGGGAAATCAAAGTCCACAGTTCAGTTCAGTTGTCAGTCATGCAACTCTACAAAGCCAAGATGAGCCTTCATGAACAGGAGACGGCTGACCAGAGGCTTCCAGAAACTCTGTCTCTACCCCAAAGAAACCTCAGCCCTCTGATGACAAATCAACCCTCATACCACCAGCAGGAAGTCAGGAGGGGCATGCAGCACCCTTCGCCAGAGCTGTGGACATCGTTGCAGGAGCCACCACTGCCCAGTCTGACCCTGAGCAGAGGATGCTCCAGGGCCTCTGTGCTGCCCCTTTGGGCCTGAAGTGCTGAATCTGCCAGGAATGGGGCAGTCGTTCCCAGTGGGTCCTGACGCCAACCACGGCAGCCTCTGAGAGCTCCCCAGCAAGCTTTCTGGAAGCTTCCTACAGGGGGCCCAGCTCCTCATCAGCCCTGATCTGGTTCCTGGACTGGCTGGCCCTCTCTGCAGGGGCCAGTGACCATCGGTCTCAGTGCCACAAGGTGCCAGGTGTGTCTGTGGCTGCAATGTCCTGCCTGCCACTCACTGCAGGTCTGAAGGTATCTGTGTTTACATAGACAAAAATGCCCCCCTTCCCACCCTCATGAGTCATAACCACAGCAGCAAATACCACCAGCCAGAGAGCACCCAGACAGCCCCTCACTCCAGGCTCTTCTCTGATAGGTCAGACCTCCTGGCTCTCCTGAGACAGATGCTGTCAGAGCCTGTGCATCTACTTCCTGTCCTGGGACAGTTTCTCCATCCAGCCATCCATCCTCCTTCCTTCCTTCTCCCTCCCTCCTCCACCCACCCTTCCTTCTCTCTCCATTCATCCATCCGTTCTTCTCCATCCATCCATCCACTCCATCTATCCTTCCTTCCTTTTCCAGCCAATGAGCTCCTGGCCCAAGTCCACTCGGAATGAGGCAGAACAGGGTACAGAACAACGGACACCTGCCTGGGCGACTGCTGAACCCTCAATGCGAGCAATACCATGACCCCCAGAACTCCCAAACTGACCCCTAGCTCCTTCCCCAAAAAGACACAGTGACTCTGCATGGCAGCAGCCATCAACCACCTGTGCCCAGCCTGGTGAGGAAATGGCATTTAATCCTCAGGGGAAAGTTACCAACCAGAGTGTGACAAGAGGGCCAAGCACTCAGACTCCTACGGAGTTGGGAAAGGGGAGCACTAGGTCACGCTACCTGGAAGGCGGTCAAAGTGCAGTCTGTACTCACCTGCACCACCTCTATCCCCCGCTTCCTGTGGAGAAAAACAAAGAAAACGCACGTTACTACAGCAGGCAGGAAGCAGAACGTCCACTACAGCTAAAGGCAGGCCAGCGCTGAGAGCCGCCCTGGGAGAGTGGGCACCAGTCTCCATGTCGCCCGACAGCCATGCTCTCCAGGACAGAGATTCTCCCAGCCACCAAGGGCTGGAGGAGAGGGTGAAACTGGCTGAAGTCCCATTAAGGACTCATAATGGCTGTCCTCCCTCTGATCCAGGGGCCAGGCCTTCTTCAGTGGCTCCAGCCTGCATTGTCCCAAGACTCTCCCACCGCCAAATTCACCATGGACACCAGTGCCTCTGCTCAGCTCAACCTCCCCCCATGGCTCCCCATGCCATCCAGCCTCAGGCTGAACTCCTTGGCCTGGCGCCCAGGTGTGCCACAGCCTGACATAGCCTGCTACACCCAACCCAAAACACTCTCACCCATGGGAAGCCACAGGACCCTGATCCCATACCCTTCTCAGGCCAAACGTGTCTCCAGTACCGGCCATCTCTGGCCCCATGGACTCCCTGCCAGTCCCTTGACCCAGTCCACCCACACCCCTCCTAGTCTAAATCTCACGTCCTCCCCCTTTTTCCCCCTCTCCCACATAGTCTCAGGCTACTATCTGTCCCCACATATGCCTGACTTTGCCCACCTATTAAGAGCCTGGGTCTGGGTCTGCCCAGAGCACAGAGCCCTCATCCTCACCCCCCACATTTCCTCCCACAAGCATAGCCAGGGCCCCTCTGTGTGGAACAGCACAGTGTCATCCCACAGCACCCTCCCCAACCCCCTCAGCAACACTCCCACAGACCTTAAGCTGCTACTCTCCCAGCCCTTTGTGCGAAAGCATGGATCACCATCACCTAGGAGTGCCCTGGGTAGGGTTACCAGGATCTGTAGGGACTGAGAAAGACTGAAGTGCATGCTTGTGTGCATGCTGGGAAGAAGGCAGGGCCTCTGACAGCCATTCAAAGAAGCCTGGGACCAGGCAACAGGAACTAGAGTTGACTCCCCAAGCTCTGTAGAGTAAAGAACGTTCCAAGTTTAAACACTGTGTGCCCCACACCTAGCTCTGGTGCTTGCCTGGCATGTACATGCTCATGAACAGTTGCTGGTAAATGAAGGTATAGACACAGGAAAACTTAGTTCAGCTCCTGGGCCCAGCCCAGTCCAGCACTCTGAGGGTACAACAAATGCCCTTTGGGAAAATCCTGCTGGCATCCAGATTATCCTAGCACATGGCTCTCATCTCTACCAAGCCAACTGCAGTCATTCCAATCAGTCCACATTTTACAACATCTAGTCCTTTAAAAAAAATTTTTTTTAAGAAGGACCCTAGCTTTGGGGCTGGGTTTGTGGCTCAGCAGTAGAGTATTCGCCTCTCACGCTCAAGGGCTGGGTTCGATCCTCAGCACCACATAAAAATAAATAAATAAAGGTACTGCGTCCAACGACAACTAAAAATAAATATTTAAAAAAAAAAAAAAAGATCCCTAGCTTTGAAAACAGATGGAACACAAAAATAAGAAAACAACAACAAAAATAATCAAGAGAAAAGGTAGGCTGAACTCTTCAGGGGGTTGAGCTCCCCAGAGTCCCACCAGCCCCACCAGCTCAGAGCTCCTAGAACAGGATAAACTGGAACTTTGGCAAAAAGTGGGGCTTGGTTCCCTTCAGTCCACGTCAGGTCACACACACCTGAACCCTTCCTGCCCACTGACTCCTCCTGCAGCCCGAGGAGGGAGGCCACAGGCTTCTCGCTGCTCAGGTGAGTAAACAGAAGTTCAGGGGACTCAGGAAGCCAGGAGCTGGCCAGAGCCAGGTCTGCCCCACCTGCACTCACAGCCAGGTGTAACACAGTGGGCGGTGGCACCCAGTGGGCTAGCACCTCCGGCCTCCAGGGCCACATTGTAAGGGGATGAACAGGGGACACTGGTGGAAAACCACGTCCCCTCTGGTAGTGGAGCCCAGTGCACTACCCCACCTCCTCTTGGGAAATAACACGTCAGGCAGGGCTTGTTCCCTCATCGGAAACTTCTGAAAAGCAAAGGTACCAGCAACCTCGAAATCCCCAGGAGCAGGCTCCTGAAATCCTGCCATAACCAGAAAGTTCAGAAAGAGAACTGTGAAGCCAAAGGGCAAGAGGGAGAAGGGAGGGACGTGGGGAACAGAGGAACAGTACCAGCTGCTCTCTCTTGAAAACCCTAACTCCACCGCCCACCTTGTCACCCTAGACACACTCAGTGTGCAAAATACTTCAGACTCGGGGATCCCACTGCCAACCCGTCTGTGATTGCAAAAGGTTGGTAGTGAACTACATGTCCCCAAGAGGTTCCACTAACAAACCACATGCCCGAAAGAACAGCATGAAGCAGTAGAAAGAACAAGGAAGCCCTCCCTGCGCCCGGGAGGAGAATCACATCCACAAAGCTGCATGTGAAAAATGCAAAACCCTGTGTGCTGGACACAGCCATCGGTGTGAAGAACAGCAGCCAGGACGAGAGGGTGTGCTTGTGTGTAAACAGAACAAACTAAAACAACTCCAAGAAAATGACCACAGCTCGGCCAGCGAGAGGGCAAAGGCAGGGTGGAGAAGACGACGTCCGTTTCACCACGTCCCTGAATTCTGGCAGAGTGCCTACAGCATATTCTCAAACTCTAGGAAAAGAGTTCTTAACGATTTTTAAAATAATAGGTGAAACCCTGGCTGCTGGCTGGGTCTGACATTAAGATGATGCCTGTGAAGGCACAGATCCGACCACCAAATGAAGGATGAAGCCAGGCGGCGGAGACTCGGATTCCAGAGGAAGGCAGGAGGCCTCCACAGACTGCTCGCAGAGGGGCTGGGCGGCACCCTCGGCGGGGCCTCCGCACTGCGGGTGGACACTCGGCAGACTCTGCGCCCACCGGAACACCTGGGTCCTGGGAAAACGCCAGAAGGGAACACGCTGCAGTGGCTGGTGGCAGCAAGAAAGAGGTTTGCTGGTTTTCCTTTCCACTGCCCTGTTTTCTGTATTTTCTATATGTTACTTCAACACCACAGAAAAAAGTGACAATAGAGTTAAAGCTTAATAATTAAAATATTTATTAAAACCCAATGCACCTGGTACCTCAGTTTTCTCGGGCCCAGCTGTGCCGCCATCCCTAAGCCACCTACCCCCATGCTCTCCCCTGTGACATGGGGAGAGTCCTAGTACCCATCCCATGGGACTTTGGAAGACCAGGAGTTCAGGCCCAGCGCATCACCAGGCCCATATCAGCAACAGACTCTGCTTTTGCTCCTATCCACATGATTCTGAGGGCCTGCACCCTGACGCCAAGATGCCAGTCCTGGTCCTCCTGAGGACGGGTCCTGGGGGACTGTCAGCAACATAAGTGGCCCTGCCTCCTAGTGGCCTGAATCTAGACCAGAGACCAAACCAGGAGAAATGGCTGAAGGACCTAGGCAAGGACAGAGCCCTCTTGCTGGAATTTCAAGATTTGGTCCAGCCTAGATCTAGTCCTCTCTGGATCTGCACCTGCAGGTTTCTGCTTAAACTAGTTTAAGATGAGTCTCTGTCACTGGAGGCTGAACAACAGGGGCTCTCAATGAAGTGACAGCAGCTTCCACTTCCTGAAGATGACAAAAATTATCCAGGATGACCTGTATTGAGGCAGAGGGACAACAGTGGAGTCCAATAAAGAGAAACAGAAAAAAGAGAAGTAGAAAGAGTGATGTAAGATTCAGAAAGGCACCCTCGGTGCACACCACAAGGCCCTGAAAGCCCCAATGCAAGGCCACTGGCCGTGGCATCCGGAAGGCCAATGCAGGTCACTCTGGGATGACAGAGTCCGTCACACACAGCCTGCCTCACAGCCCAAGAGGACAGAAGGGTGCAGGGCCCGTGAACATCAGCATCAGCAGTAGGAGAGGGAGGGTCCCCTCTTGCTAACAAGGTGAATGGCCTGCTAACAGCTAAGAGAATTCCTGGCAATCAGAGACAGCAGAGCAGCCACCAAAGAATAGTGAGGTTTGTCCAAAAAGGATCCCACAGGTTCAAGAACTGCTTTCTTGCCATATCCAAGGTTGGAGCCACTGTCTCCCTCCCAGGCACAGCTGAGGACTGCCCACTCCAGAGCCCAGCTGCCACTACAAAGGACAACCCAGCCAGGCCTCCCAGGAGCCATCTCACAGCAAGAGGGATCCGCTGGAAACACTGTGCCCCCCCACCCCTACCTGTGGGCAACAAAAGCAGCTGCATGCACCACACCCCAAGTTAACAACCACCTAGGGAAGGCAAGGGTGTGATTAGGAAAACAGGAGGCCAGGAAACCTCACCAAACAATTTGTAGCACGGCTTGGTAACTGAGATTTCAGTCACCCAGAATAATAGGGCCCTTTAGCACTTCAAGGTACCAGGCATGTGGGGAACGGTCCTGAGTTACATCCCCCACCTTTCTCTGCCTACAAAGGCAGGGGTCTCTGCATGCCACCCAGAGCCCACAATGTCTCCCAAGGACCTGGGGTTACTGATAGGAAACAGGGCCTCCTCCCTTACCCCTGTGTGCAGAGGGAATGCCGCAGTCCCAGCACACCCCCACCCCCTCAAGTCAGCTTCTCTGGAGCAGCCTTCCTAGGTCTCCAGCCTCAGAGGCCCCACACCCAAGCTTCCCTGCCCAGCACTGAGCACAGAGCAGCGGACTCCCTGGCTCCACAGCACTGCCCACTCCTAGGTTCACTACTCAGAGGCAGACACCAGCAGTGGCACCAGTACCAGTATTCCTCCTCCTAGATGCTCAGTGCCACCGCACTGCATCTGCTACACCCCACCGCAGAGCCAGGCATAGCCACAACACTTGCTCTGGTCAATGACATGTGATCAGAAGTGACACTTCCAGGAAGCAGCACTCAAGAGCCAGTGCAAGGCCCTCCAGCCAGTCCTCTCAGCCTCTCGGCAGTGTGGGGGCACAAGGGTGCCACCATCCACCAAAGCCAGCCAGACCTACT